CCTGCTCCTCCTCCTCCTCCTCCTCGGTCCTCCTCCTCCTCCTCCTCCTCCTCCTCCTCCTCTTCCTCCTCCTCCTCCTCCTCTTCCCCCTCCTCCCCTAAGATCGGACAACTGGAGACCTCAACCCCAACTTCCCGCGCCATTGTTCCGAGCCAGCCGGATCTGTGAGGGTCCCGGGGCCCGAGGCCCAGCGACCACGCCCGGCTCGAGCCAAAAGTGGACGCTGGGGCCTCAGGGTCCACAACTGGCCATCGCTCGGACGTCCATTCCCTGTTTTTTTGTTGGTTTCTTGCGTGTTTTGTTTCGCCAAATGATCAAGCATGCTCCTCGATGGCCCTCGACAAAGGAAAAACATCACACGTCCGAGCGATGCCAAGAAAAAGAAAAAACAGCAACAACATTAACTGTTGGCTTTCTGCGCGGATTTCTCGGATCCGCGCTGGACCCCCCCCCCCTGGCGCGCGGAGCGCGCCAGGAGCGGCGCCGGAGGCGCCGCTGAGGGTGGCCCAGCGCAAGAAATCAGCGCAGACGCCAACAGTTTATGTTTAGAACTTGTTCTTCTTCGACGTCACCTCAGAGGGGGGGATTTTTTCCATCCTCGCCCTGCGCTGCGGCGACCTCCTGGACAGGCGTACATTCCGTGACCCGCGGGGGCAGGAAGGAGGCAGAGGGAAGAGGCAGAAAGGGAGAGGGGGTAGAAAATTAAAAGTTTATGCCGTGTGTGTCTTCTTCGATCCCTCTCCCTCTGAGAATTGTTTATCCGACCCCCATCCCCAGCGGCGTGGCCTGGGCCCCACTGGCGGATTTCACCCCCCTGGATGGGGATATGGGCCGTTCCCTTGGGGCTTCGGAGGGGGTATCCCCAACTGGGGTGGTAATTTGGTGGGGGCCTCGAAGGGGATGGGGATGAGGGGGAGGGGGAGGGGGAGGGGGAGGAGGAGGAGGAGGAGGAGGAGGAGGAGGAGGAGGAGGAGGAGGAGGACGACGAGGGGGAGGACGAGGAAGAGGAGGACGAGAAGGGAGAGGAGGAGGAGGAGGAGGGGGAGGAGGAGGAGGAGGAGGAGGAGGAGGAGGAGAGAGGAGGAGGAGGAGGAGGAGGAGGGGACCGGATAGAAACGTTACTGACCCTCGGCGTGGGCTCCGCCTGCTCCGCCGACGCGGCCCTCTCCGATCCGGCCAGGTCCACCAGCGCCAGGCTGGAAGAGACCTCGCCGAGGCAGGGCCTGCTGCTGGCCTCGGCGCCGCCCAGCGGCACCTGCCGAGGCCGAGGGCGGCGACGACGACGACGACGACGACGACGAGGAGGACGAGTACGACAGCGACGACGACGACGAAGACGACGACGACGCCGACGAGGACGACGACGACAGCGACGACGACGACGACGACGACGACGAGGACGAGGAGGAGGAGGAGGAGGAGGACGACGACGACGAGGAGGACGAGGACGAAGACGAGGACGACGACCACGACGACGACGACGACGACGACGACGACGACAACGAGGGCGACGACGACGACGACGAGGCCGAGGGCGGGCCGGGAAGCGGCTTGGAGAAACAACGGGAAAACAGTCGGGCTGCTGAAAGAAGGAACGCTCCATAAGGGACGCAGCCCCTTCTCGGCACCGGTGGCTCCTGCGTGGACGAGGAGCGCTGGAGAAACAGCCAAGGCAGGGCCCAGGGGGCATCGAGCCCCTTCCGATCCCAAGCTGTTCCTTATGTCACAGCGTTTTAGCTGTAATGTCATGATTCGGCGGCGAGCCAAGTGAAGAAGTGAGAAGGGGAGGGGCTTCTCAGAAGGCGGTGGAGCTTCTCAGAAACCCTCGCGCCTTCTGACGAGTGTCCTGCGTCTTCGAACAGTGCTCAGGCAACTCCACAGAAGGCTGGGGACTCTGAGCCTCCCGAGGAGGCCCGCTCCTTCTCCCCCCCCCGCGGGCTGAGGCTTTGAGGAGCGACAGGCATCGTGCGTCGACGCGCCGGTAGGTCTCGACGCGCCCAGATGGACGACGCCGGCACCGCGGCAAACCCCCGGCAAGCCCTGCGCCCCGAGCCCACACAAGCCAAGCCAGCACCGCTGCGCAGACCCTGGGGCCGTAGGCGACCCGAGGAGGAGGAGGAGGAGGAGGAGGAGGAGGAGGAGGAGGAGGAGGAGGAGGAGCAGGAGGAGGAGGAGGAGGGGCAGAAGGAGGAGGAGGAGGAGGAGGAGGAGAGGGAGGAGGAGGAAGTGAGGGAGGAGGAGGAGGAGGAGGAGGAGGAGGAGGAGGAGGAGGAGGAGGAGGAGGAGGAGAGATGAGGACCCATGGGCAAACGCCCTGCTCGCCCAGGGTGGGGGGCGTTTGTGCCCCAGTGGCCGCGGATCCTCCCCGAAAAACACGGAAGGGCCGCGCGCCAGCTCGCAGGGGGCGACGCGCCATGTCACGGCAGGATTGCCTCATGATGAGGTCGGGCGTGTCGCCCTGCAGGCGGTGTTTTGGAACGAGAACTAAAAAAACACTCCAAATATACCCCCGAACGATCACAAGACAGTTAGAGACAACGTCCCCAGACTGATTTATGTATTACTTGTTAGTGCTCCTCCTGTAGCGGGAGGACGCGCCAGACTGAAGCTGAGGATTCGCTCTTCAGGATCTCCAAAGTATCCAGCAGCCCCCGCTTCTGCAGCCCCCTGTGGAGCATCAGGAAATCTAAGATCCTCCTCCTCCTCCTCCTCCTCCTCCTCCTCCTCCTCCTCCTCCTCCCCATCTTCCTGCTCTCTCTCCTCCTCTCCTTCTCCGCTCCCCATCCTTCCCCTCCTCCTTCTCCTCCTCTCTCCTCCTTCTCCTCCTCCTCCTCCTCCTCCTCTCCTCTCTCCTCCTCCTCCTCCCCTCCTATCCTCCTCCTCCTCTCTCCTCTCCTCCTCCTCCTCCTCTTCCCCTCCCCCTCTCCCCTCCTCCCTCCTCCTCCTCCTCCTCCTCCTCCTCCTCTTCCTCCTCCTCCCTCCTCCTCCTCCTCCTCCTCCTCCTCCTCCCGTCCCTCCTCCTCCTCCTCTTCCTTCTCCTGCTCCTCCTCCTCGTGGGTGCGAAAGCGCGATCCCGACCCCCCAAAGCCCTTGGGAAGGGTTTCGGGCAGAGGGGCCTCCGTGGCTCCCCCGGGAGGCCTTGCGCACCTCTCCCACCCACTCATGCGAGGCCTCCCGTGTATGGCCCAGGCGAAGGGCGCCAAGGGCGTCCGCGACACCCGGAGCCCCCTTCCGCCCGTCTGCCCTCGGTGGCCCCCCTCCGCGCCCGCTCTTCGGACACGGGCTCCCGCGCCGCAGGGCCAGCCGCCCTGGCCCCTGCAGGAAGCGGGAGTGTGCTGGCGGGGCCAGCGCAACTGTGAGCTGCGAGCGGCCCTCACACATGAAGCGCAGTTCCCGTCTCGTCGGCTTCGCAGCGGGCAGAGCTCGCAGGTCTCGCAGCGACATCCGCCACGAGTCGCCCCAGCCAGTACTTCGCTTGTGGAACCTGGACCCCCGAGCTGACCGGACGCCTCCGGAGGCCACCTGCGCCAGGACCTCGGCGACAAGGGCGGGGGGCCCGCGCGGAGCCTGCCTGCGCCAGGGCAGGCCCCGTCCGCTGAGGTTCACCACCCCGTCCGCCACGCTGCGGGTCCAGGGGGTGCGGGCGAGGGCGTCGGCCTGTGGGCTGGGGGGCTCGTCTCCGGGCGTGCGCTGCCCGGCCCCCCCCCGACCGCGGCCACGGGGCGGGGGGCAATGTGCCCCTGGTGCTGGGTGGGCCAGGAGGCACGATGATGATGATGATGATGATGATGATGATGTGGGCAACTCTGGAGGCCAGGGGCTATCTTCTTGTGCAAAGGACTCGGCAACAGGCGAGGACAGCGGACGCATGCTGTCGCGATGCACCAGGTAAAACATTCTAGAGCGGGAAACAGGGCGGGCGGGAGAAGCTTGAGAATGGAAGTGCGGCCCGAAAGAGAGCCACAAAAAGCCGCGGGCAGCAATATGTGGGCAACTCTGGAGGCCAGGGGCTATCTTTTTGTGCAAAGGACTCGGGAACAGGCGAGGACAGCGGACGCATGCTGTCGCGATGCACCAGGTACCTAGGCTAGCCCATCCCACTGGCTTGAAAGCCGCATTAACTGAATTCACACAGCTCTGATCTGCCGAGCAATGTAGCGAAGCGAATCAACACTGAGAGCCATCCTGTCGCAGGCGCATCTTAGAACATTAGCAGGGAGCCGCAGCGCTTTGCTGCGTACCTGCCGATCTAAAGATGGGATGCCGAGCTCGCCAAGATGCCGTTTCCCAGATCGGCAGCAACGCGAGTCGGCCGGCGAACAGATAGCAGAAAGAGAATTCATATCTTGTACATGCCAGCTCACTAATCGAAATCTTCTCTTTATACGGCCAGCGAACATACATGCATCGAAGACGGCAGCAGAGGAACATTGGCTAACTATAGCTTTGCAAGAAGGGACATCCCAGATGAAAGACGCATCTGGATGACACAGAGCGGCTGGAACCTTCTTGTCGCTACACACTGACAGAAGGCGCACAAAATGACTGAGAAACAGATTCGCAATGGCAACTGATCGAAACTGGGCACTGGACAGACTCGGCAGGCCGTTGGCTCGAGCTTTGCTACGGACAGCGGGCTTCTGAGGGAGCCACGTAGTCGTGTCGGGCTCCACCCACACGCACGAGATACAGCCTGCACGAATCCATCCGAGCACGCGCTTCATCACTAAAGGATCTGTGATGTCATCAGTAACATGGCGTCTCACTTTCAAGTGCAGCACGCCAAAGCCGAGGCGCTGCAGAGCGCGAGCCGCGCCGCCGTCGCCGCCAATTACTAGGGCGGGCGAGTACCTGGACCGCGTCGCAGCACGCCTGGCTGCACGCCAAATCCTCGTCAGGCGAAGGCCCACCGCGCTGTCACTCGCGGAGGCGGAGGCCTGACCGCTGGCGGTGTCGGCGTCACGGCAAGCGGCACTTGCAGCGGGAAGACGCCTGAGGAGGTGGTCTGCAGAATGAGATCGTTCATCTGCGAGTCGACCGCGTGCCCGAAGTCGATCAGGTTCTGGCCTAGGGAGGCGATCCGCTGCTGCATACGAGCCCTCTTGGCATAGCGGAGGAGGCTCTGGTCCGTCCTCCATCGGCCGCGGTCCTTGACCTCCTGCCTGGTGCGTCGGAGAGACAGGAGGTCGTCGGACGCACCCCCATGCCGAAGGGAGTAGAGCGTCATCTCGGCTTCCAACCCGAGCGCAGCGGCAGCACGACGGAACATGCTCCGCACCTCGTCGGGGGCGAAGGTCCAGAGGCCGTCGCTCGTCTTCTTGCCCAGCACCAGCGCGTCGAGAAGGGGCCAGAGCGTCGGGTTGTCGACGATCACGCTCTCGCCCATCTCCCCTGTCTTCCCAGGACGATCGAGGCAGGCGTCGTTGACGATCAGGGCCCAATGTCCGTACCCGCGGGCGGCATCGGGTCTTGGTCGAATAACGCTGCCCGCTGTTAGCCGATAGGCCTCGCTGGGCCTCAGGTAGGTGTCGAACATCAGCCTGATAAACACTGCCATGCCGAAGAGCTTCCACGAGATGAGGACGCCCACGATGGAGGCCATCGCCGCCCGTGGAAGGGGTAGTCGCATCTGCGGGGGCACGAGCTTCCGCCAGCCTGTCAAGGCGCGAGCTGCACGCGGGCACGGCGTCCTGCCCACCAGGATCGAAGGCAGGTAGTGCTTCAAGGAGGCGAGCAGGACTCGGCCCGTAGCACTGTCGAAGCCGTCCAGAAAGAGGTTCACGAAGTAGGTAACTAGGATGACATCGACCTCCGCCGCCGTGGTGAAGGTCTGGGACGTCCAGCGGCACCACTCCTCGAACTTCTTGGCGGCGCCCCAGTAGTTGGCCATGGTTGTGTCCGACACGGCAGCTGACTCGAGGACCGAGAGCGCACCCCGCCCGAGCCGTTGTGGTCCTGGATGCGTCTTGGTCCTCTGCTCCGTCACGGTCGTGGCTCGCTGGCGCCGAAACTCGGGGTGCAGCCGCTTGGTGCTCCTCGAAGGTCGGCCCGACAAAGAAACCTGTCCTCGACGGCGAGTCTGCGGCATTGCTCTCGCTAGGGATCCATCGCACAGCGTGGCGAATGCCGGAAGCTGCGGACAGAGCACAGAGGCGTCGTAGTGGATCGCGAAGCCCTCGGGCACCAGAACGTCCCTTGCCAGCAGCAAGGGCTAGAGCCAAATTGTCGACGGTGAACAGGATGCGATGATGTCGA